AGAAGAGTGAAAACCAAGCAGCCTACAAGTGCCACACATTTATGGGAACTTCTACAACAGACTTGGGAAGAACTTTCTGAAGAATATTTGATTTCTGTTGTAGAAAGAACGCCACGAGTGTGTTCAGCTGATGTATCTGCCAAAGGTGGCTACTTTGATGAGTCAAAAGTTTGGAATATATTTTGGTCTATAAATTGATTCCATGATTTATTTTTCAACTAAAATTGCTTATTTGTTCTATGCTTTCATTTCGGAATGCAATGACACAAGAAACTGAATAATTTTCAGTAAAAAATTGGAAAAAGTGTGGTGTTCTAAAACTTTTGACCGGTAGTGTATATATACATATATCTTTTCTATGTACCCCAAATTCAGAAGCCCATTTTCACATTGTGTTTGCACTATTCTCTTTTGTTTGCACTATTTCTTATATTTATATTTACATTTTTTTCTGTCTCGTATATGTGTATCTCTGTGTTTAATGCTGCTAACAACAACATGAATTTCTCCACTGTGAGATAAAAAAAAGGCATATCTTATCTTATCTTATCTTATCTCTTATCTTATAATCTTGGGTGCATCTCTCTGCTAACAGCCATGATCTCCAGCTGGTTTCTCCTCTTCGTGTCAGTGATCGTTTTCTAAAGACCTTTAGGTCAGCAAGCATCCATGATTGTGGCTGTGTGTAGTGAACTAGACAGAGAGATACACAGCATTATGCTGTTTCAACAGTCATTTACTCAACTCGAAATAAAATATTCCAATAATTCTAGATGCTGTATTTCTGGTTGTTCATTAGCTTTAAGTCATAATCATCAGAACTGAAACAAAAAGGCCAGAGATATTTCACTTTACATGTAATGAATATAGAATAGGTGAAATTTCATCTTTTTGAATTAAATTAGGAAAAAAGAATATTCATGATTTTCTAATGATTTTTTAAAGATTCATTAGTAAACTGAGCCCTGTGATGGACTGGTTACCTGTCCAGGTGAACCTCTTCATTTACGTCATATAACTGGACAAATCTCCAGGCTGTCTCTCTCGTCCATACCTACCGTCCATTCCTTTGGCTGAGCAGCTGATTGTTGCTGCTGAAGAGGCAGCTTCAAGAGGAGCTGCTGAGTCTCAGGTTGTCACTGCAGAGAAATGATGACAATGAACCCAGATTCTGCGTCGTGACCTCATGACTGAAGCAGTTCTGACCTCAGCAGTGATGCCTGACGGCTGCACATGAACAGCCAATGAGAGACTCGGCCTGAGCTGAACCCAGAAGGAGCGATGAGGTGGACTGTGAGTAGAGCTGAGGCGGCCCACGGTCTGACCAACGGTGCCATGGTTTCATACGGTGGTAGGCGGTGCTTTGCTTTCTTTGTTCCACACAGACGTTGTTCTTTGATTGCTGCTGATATGAACAGTCCCTATTTATCGAAAAGCCAGCTCTGTCTTCATAGTAGAGAATAATTATCATCATTAAAAATAAATATGAATTTGTATTTTGCTGTCTTTCAGCCACCATCACTGATTATTCTGCAAACTGACCGTTCAGTTAGAACATAGCAGGATGAGAGAATACTGACTTCATGTAGATTTAAACTCATCAGTCTCACCACAGGGAGTTATTAACCGGCTCTAATCGTTCTTTCTTTGTGTTCACAGAAAAGAGGACACGCAACGCACTTCTTTCAAACCTGGTTAGCAGGATGTGTGTCCTGGTTTCTCCAAGACGGTGTCGGTTCAGGAGCAGCATGTGTTCAGTGGAGTCTGGCTCTGGCTATTTGCATAAAGCAACTTAAAGCTATTTCTCACATTTGTTGGTCATCATGTATGAACTTCTGATTATAAACCAGCGTGGACGTGCTGATTATGCTCCAGGTGTGTCTTTGTCACAGGTGTGGACGTCTTTACTCTCTCTTCCTGTGGTCCACACATCAAAACATCCACCTGAAGCAGGACCACAGTTCTGGAGCAAGGTCCATCCTCATATAGGAGCACGTAAGTGAACGAAAAGCGCACCAACTCCAAGTCCCACAATGCCATTCGCGGCAGGCCCGCCTCGCGTGGCTGGGAGTGGGCGACAGCTTGTCACGTGACCAGAGGTGACGGCGTGAGTTTAAAGGGACGTCGGCTCCGGTTTTCCTCCCCTCAGGCTACAGAAACGGTCAGAGGCGTGCCGTGACACAGGTTCCGGTCCAGCCGGTTACACACGCGCTGAACAAACACCCGGAACCTCCAACACACTCCAGTGGGTTCATCAGCCCGATAAGAACTCTGCCGGGTTTCGTAACGTCGGTCTATGTGGAGAGCAAAGGTCCCACCGGAAGCTGATTCACGGGTTCCAACAAAGCAGCAGTCAGTCGGAGGAGGAACCGAGTCCTGGTGAGTGAGCCCAAGTCCGTCTCTTCAGACTAAAACAGAACAAACTAGAAAGAAAACTAAACATTTTCTGAATTAATCACGTCTGTGTCCGCTGTTCAGCGCTTTCTTCCACAACAGAACTTTGTGTTCTGCTTGTTACTGAGTGAAGGGTACTGGCAGCGTGGGCCGGTGCTGTTAGAGCAGCCGGACTTCTGGAGAACTTTACTGGGTTCATCCCAGAGACAGACCAGTAGAGAAACATGAGCCCTGTGTCACAGCTCAGTACTGCTGTCCACGCTGGTGCTGGTGGAGTGAGTGGAACTGGACTGGAGGAGTCCTGGTAGATAGA